GCGACATTAGGATTTATATTACTCTATTTTCTTTTACCTGAAATATAGTCATACTAGAAATGGAGATCTTCCACTTTGTAAGAGGTTGATTTATGGAAAGAAAATGATTTCTTAAGAAGTGAACTAGGTGGGGCTGGAGAGATGGCTCAGTGGTTAAGAGCACTGACTGTTCTTCCAGAGGTCCTGAGTTCAAGTCCCAGCAACCACATTGTGACTCACAACCATCTGTGATGGGATCCGATGCCCTCTTCTGGTGTGACTGGAGACAGCTACAGTATACTCGTATACATAAAATAAATAAATAATTCTTTACAAAGAAAAGAAATGAACCAGGCAAGTGGGACACAGAGGTTCACATATGTAATCCCAGCACTTGGCAGGGTGAGACAGGAGGATTGCTAGGAGTTTGAGGCCAGATTGGGCCACACAGTGAGTTTCAATCGTTAGTGAAAGCCTGTCCTAAAGGTCAAAAACAAACAAACAAAACAAAAACAATCATACAAAACAAAAACAATCAAACAAAAAACAAGCTGTAAGGAGCAGGCCTTTAACAGGACTGACTCCATTTTGTAATAGGAAACTTGTAGAGACAAGTCTGGAAGTGAAGTTGTGCTGCGATAACCAGCTGTAATGAAGTCAGAGCCAAGCGACAACCAGACACGAGTGGTTATCTCCCGTGCACGTCAGCAGTAATGCCAAATCAAACATAAAAGAGGAGCCTGATCAGAACACTTCATCACACTTGTAGCCATGACTGCCTGGCGTGACCCTCCACCAAGCTTTCTCAGCTCCCGACCATCAAAGAGTTAACCGAGAGAGCAATGCCTCCATTTCATGGTCAAGCACCCTACAAAGTCAAATTAGCAATTCAACTAGCTGGAAGCCGCAGCCTGCCTGACCCTGCCTTCAAGGACTCTGGGACCTGTAACTGAGACTATCATAAGGACTCAGGTCGTATAACCCATGACTGAATGATGTATTTATTGCTATGCTTATTTCTTTGGTAATTAGCAATTTATTATTTGTGTTTATTATGCCAATATTGTTAGAGGCAATGCATAGGAAATGTGGCAATATCTTGTGGGAGCAATAGCCTTAGCATTGGTGATAACTTATTGCTTGCCGTGCATCATTAAAGAGTAACTGAACTCCAAAATCTCTGTGTCTGGCGTACTCTCTCTCCCTTCTTGTGGAGCTGAAGATCTCACAGTCAAATGCAGCATACGATCCCTGAGTGGAGGAGGATCTGTCGCTCCTCTCCCTGTGGGGATTCTAAAACCTTATCACAACCTGCCTGTGACAGATAAGAGTCAGGGCTTGCAACACAAACAAAAAAACAAAAATAAACAAGCAAAAGAAAAACAATCGAACAAAACAAAAACCAATGACCAAAAAAAAAAAAAAAAAAAAAAAAGGGAAAAAAAAAGCAGAGCCACGAGTGGAGCAGCTGCATTGTCTGAAAAACAAAAGTATTCAACAAAGAAGACTTTGCTACAGATCACGGAGATGCGTGAGGCAGAGGCTAGACAGTCAGCTAGTGAACTAGGATACAAACCAGAGGTTTTGCTATTGGGTTCTCTATTAATCGGGAAAATTATTTTATAAAATAAAATTATAATTTTCTAATTATGTTAAAGTAAGTTTGAAGCATTTGGCTATTTGGCCTTAACAAGTTGCCTTAACCCTTAGTGGTAGGTTATCGTCATGTCCATTTTCCCTTGCCTCAATGTCCTGTATAAATCTAAAGATTTTAAATCAACCTTGAGGCCTCGAGTACAATTTATAAAAGAAACAAAAACCAAACATTTCCTTAAAGTAATCGCTGGACCCGCCTTCCTGGGATCTCCCCAGTGGGGACATTGATACACATACATAAAAATGAGCGCTGAGGCTGGGGCATGGCTCATCGGGTCACAGTGCCTACCACCAAGTTTGACATCTTGAGTCTGATTCCTAGGACCCACATGGCAGAGGGCGAGAACTGACTCCTGGACAGGAGTCGCCCCCCCTGACCTCTACACAGATGCATCACCCCCAGACACAAAATAAATACAGAAGTAAACAGATTTTTAAAAGTGTGTGTACATCCTTCATGTAGGCAAGATTTCGTGTGAGGTACAGAAGCCCAAGTGTGAGCAAGCTTAATAATGAGGATTTTTTTTTTCTTTCCCGTTCACTGGGTTTTGCTCCCCAAGGGAACAACTGTGTTAACTGGTTCCTCTCTGTCTCTCTCTGTCTCTGTCTCTGTCTCTCAAAAATCATCAACAACAGGCAATGGCTACTCTAAGAGAGATAAATCCATTCACTGTAAGTCAAGGAAGCTCTTGAACCAGTGAGGTGGCACTGGCTCAGGGGTGTGAACCCCATGCCCTCAGGGACAGGATGAAACCTGGGGTGACAGTGGGGACAGTGTTAAAGCTAAAAACCCTTGCCTCATGTATCAGAATACATCACAGTGCTGGCTGCGTGCTCTACAGAAAACTAAACAGGAAGGCCATCATTAGGATGTCAGGATTTTTTGTGTGTGTATGTGTGTGTGTGAGGGGGTGGACCTACGATCACTGAAGCTTTGGACTGGGTGAGAACAAAAAGAATAGTTCAGGTTTTCTGGTGACAAGAACAAGGAGCATGCTGGTCCCTAAGGGTCACGGGGGAGGGTGAGTCCTGCCCACTCATCCTTGGAGGGCCCGTTCCAAAGGCCGTTCTACTATGAGAAAAATGTCCAACCGTGTAGAGGGATAAAACTGTACAGTAAAGAACCTTCCTCAGCTCAAGGTTTCGCTGGAGATGGATTCTGAGTTTCGCTTTGTGCTTGGTTTGAAGTTTCTTGTCTTTTTTTTCCCCTTTCTGTGACGCTAGCCACTCTGGCGCTGTGGAAGAGGTGTTAATTCTGTTTGCTGATTCTCCAGTGTTTCCCTACTTTATCTAGAAACAAGAGAGCTGACCATCTTTTCTGTTGTGATGAAGAATTTGGGAGTCCCATTTAGATCAGTCACTGGAAATGGGACAAATGTGTTTTCTGGTGTCATGTAATAACAAGTGCAAAAGTCTCAGCTCTTAAAAAAAATTAATTAATCAGTTTGTGTGTGTGTGTGTGTGTGTGTTGGGAGCAGGCTCTCAGGTATAATGTCACTCATGTCGAAGCCAGAAAACAACATTTGGGGGTCAGTTCTTGCCATCTACTGCATTGTCTCTGCTGCTGCAGGGGCCTCCAGGCCAGCTGGCCTGTGAACTCTTATCAAATTCTGTCTCCACTTCCCATCACCCCATAGGGCTGGGATGACAGACGTTTGCCACTGAAGCAGTATTTCAAACAAGTTCTGGGGCTGGAACCCAGATCATCAGGCTTGTGTAAGTGTGTGCGCATGCACGAATGTGCTTGGGTGCCACAGCACACGCACGTATGGAAGTCAGAGGGCAAATGCCAATGCCGTGTCTCTCTGTCTGCTGTGTGAGTCTGGAGATTAAACTCAGGCTGTCAAGCTTAATAGTCTGTGCCTTTGCCTGCTGAGCCATCTTGCTGGCCTCGAACTCTCTTTTAGAGGAAACGGATCATGAGAAGTGGGATCAGCCTCGGCCTGCCCACTGCTTCTACAGCCTCCCTGGCAACAAAGAGCCAACAAGAAAAGGACATGGCCCGGGCTAACACCTGCTAATGCGTCTCGGTCCCAGGCAAGGGCTCTGGGTCCCAGCTGCAAGGGCTCAGGTGCCTCTTTCTTTATCTGCACATTGATTAGACCCCTGAATAAGAAAATAGAGATGCCCAAGGATGGTGGGACAGATGGTGGGACGGATGATGGGATGGATGATGGGACAGATAGTAGAGGTCTCACTCTTTGTTAACAGAGAATTACGCCAAAGGCCTTTTTGCTCGGGCTTTGCTGCTGTCACCAGTGACTTTATTTTCTTGTGGTGTTTAGGTTCCTGGATAAAAAGTCACAGGGACCCAAAGGTGTCTGCCCACATTCTTTGCATCACACAGAGATTAAGAGTGGCAAATCCACCAAGCAAGCTATGCAGCCAGACACAGCCCCTGTAAGAATATCAGGCAGCATTGCTGTGTTCCAATGACCTAGGTCATTCCTATCTCATATGTCACCTTCAGGACTTCTGTACGTCCGTTCATGGCTTTGGTCTTTTTGTTTTGCGGACTGAGTTTCACTGTGTAGCACAGTGTAATTGAACCAGGAATCCACTCCAGCTTCTAAAGTGCTAGGATTACAGGTGTAAACTACTACGCCTGGCTATAAATTATATTATTTAATATTTAATCCAGAAAATGCCTTATATGGTTTTAAGGGCCTGTTTTAATTTATTTATATATTCTTATATATATAATTTTTTCTATTTTTAAAGAGAAAGAGAGAGAGAGAGAAAGAGAGAGAGAGAGAGAGAGAGAGAGAGAGAGTGTGATTTCTTGCTTGTATGTACACCATGTGTGTGCAGTATCCTAAAGGCTAGTAGAGGGCATTGAATCCCTCGGAACTGGAGATACAGGATGTTATGAGCCACTTGACATAGGCACCAGGAACACAACCCTGGACCTCTGCAAGAGCAGCGTATGCTCTTAACCGCTGGGCCATCTCTCCAGCCCTATCTTTATATATCCTTACGTTCTTTATGTAAACAACTCATTTGAATAAGAGGAAAGCTCACTTCATTACCAAAACGAGAGAGCAGCAGACTCATTTACCAACAACTGAAGCGAACATCAAAGATAGAGTGCAAAGCCAGTAATGAAATTAACTTCTGGGTAGATACTGCTGTCAAAACTTACAACTGAAGTTTCTTAATTTACTAAAAAGGGAATTATCAGAGGTAAGGAACATTAGCAAGAAGCAGGCCTTATGATGGAATGAGAAGAGTGAATGGAATTTTCTCATGAGCCCACCCACAGTCCCCATGGCTCACCACAGTGACCTCACACATGGGTAGGCCCGCCCCCTACTCTCAGAAGATGGGCAAGCATGTCCGCTCTGCAGGAACCGGAATCGGCTTACCATTTGTCTGAGAAATGCCATCAGAGGAGTCCTCCGGGATTTGCTTTCTTCTTTGACTTTTACATCTGTGGGTTCAGGCTGGGTCTCTTCTTCATTGAGATCCACAGTTTGTAAGGTGGATTCTACTTCCTCAGACTTTACAGTCTCTACTGGTGACTCGCACACCGCCTAGATTATTTTGCCAGGTAATAAGAAAAACAAACCGAAACAAACCAAACCAAACCAATTCCCCCCTACACCTGAATATTCCCCCGAAGCATGTTTTGTGAAGGAGTCTTGGTGGTTCTATCTGCAGAGTAGCTGTGGGTTTGAACCTGTGACTAGCTTCTATGCAGTCAAATCTTCAAGAGGTGATATTCAGGATGTGGATAATGAGCTCACAGACGTATGATTGCTGATCACCGGACAGAAGAAAGACAGATGGACAGACAGACAGGAATGGAGTTGGCAAATTCCTTCCCTTTGAAGGTACAGGTATAGGCTGGAGTCTCTTCCTCCCTTCCATCCTAGTAAGAGTCTCTTCGGTCCTCCTCAGAGTAATTACATCTAGCCTGTGTACAGATCCTGTGGTGGTTTGAATGAGAACAGCCCATAGAGGCTCGCATGTTTGAATGCTTGGCTCCTAGTTGGTGGAACTATTTAAGAGAGATTAGGACGTGTGGCCTTGTTGTTGGCGGTGTGTTACTGGGATGGGCTTTGAGGTACCCAATCCAGTTAGCTCTCTTTCTCTGCCTCCTGTTTGTGGATCAGATGTGAGTTCTTGTCTATCGACCAACCACCATGCTGCCTGCCTGCTGCTATGCTTCCCACCGTGGTGGACTAGCCCACTAAAACTATTAGCAAGCCCCCAATTCAACGCTTTCTTTCATAAGTTGCCTTAGTCATGGTGTCTTGTCACAGTAATAGAACAGGGACCAAGAAAGGTCACAAGTAATCAGGCAACACGTTCTTAGGCTTGTAACAGGCACCACACTTAGTTAATACTACCTGTTCTTACTCATGTTAACATTAAACCTGCCTACTCCACGACCATGTATGACCTGGAGCACCCAATGACTCATGGGTCCATTTAGATCTCTTCCCAAGTCTGCCGTTGTACAACGTGCTTCTTATATAACACTTCAGGACAAGGTTACAAAGGTAATGTTATCCCCATTTTACAACTGAGGATTATGAACAGTTGGCTAACTTGGCTAAAGTCATATCAATGAGTAGCTGCCACTTTGAGGAAAATAGGGGGTTTCCTGCTGGCCAGTGAAACAGAACGCCCAACAGGAAAACATTCTCACGTGGATTCGAGTCTCTGCCATCCTCTAAGAACTTGGACTCTCTGCACCCTTTGGCTTTTCTGTCCTTGGTCTCCTGGGATTTCATTCTTACATTTGCTACAGAAGAGCTACTGGCATACTGCTCTGGAAGGGTGGGAGATGGCTCCTGAGTAGGTAAGAGCAGACTGACCTCCTGGACCTGGATTCAAAATTATTCTGTCTTTGGAACATTTTGAGCCTTTGTGAACAAGAACCTAGAGGGAAAATCCTGAGATCACAATCTGTAACACTGACGTGAGTTGTGTTATAATGTCAGAATGTGAGTGGATGCTGACCCAGTGGATGCTGACCCAGCGGATGCTTCAGGTGCCCTGGCATACCTCATGCTAGCACTGTCTCCTCTCTACTCCCTCCCTCTGATACCAGCAGGAAATAGTTATTTGGAGCAGCTATGGCCAACAGACAGTGGCCTAGCAGAAGGAATGACAAAACTGAGAGAAATCAGCTGACCATGGGCTGGGATGTGACTCCTCTGGGACAGTGCTCACCCAGTGTTTGATTCTCAGCACCACGTAAACTGGAGGTGACAACACACACCTGTAATCCCAGCACTCAGGAGTGAAGGCAGAAGGATCAGAACTCCAAGTCCTTCCTGGCTGCACAGTTTGAGTCTGGCCTGGCTGGGATGCTTGAGACCTGACTTTTAGGAAGGGGCTACAAACTGAACTTTGAGACTTTGTTACCACAGCATCGCCTGACAAAAGCTGTATCTCCTTCCTCCTCACTGCTGCAAGGCTAGGAAGCTCCAACCACAGCCCAGCCAGGCTGAGGCGGGCCAGGCTGAAGCAAACCAGGAGCCCAGGTCCAGCCATGTAGGAAACTCATTCTCCTCTCGGCAATGGCATTAGTGAGGCTGTTTTCTTTCTCGCCCAGGCTGGGTGTTTTGTTTTTGTCTTTTGTTTTTTCAGGTGAAGCTTTCAAGTTCTTGCTAAGAAGTGGCAGTTGCTTTGGTTCGATACATTATTAGCAAGGAAAGATAGTTTCATCAGTTATAATATTTCAACCAACCAAGGCCCAAAGATTCTTGGGTCACACCCAAGCTTTTCCATAACTGCTACAGATGAAACAGATTTTAATTAATTAATTAATTAATTAAGACAGGGACTCTATATAAGTAGCTCTGACTGTCCTGGAACTCTCTAGACCAGGCTGGCCTTGAACTCACTGAGAGCTGCCTGCCTCTGCCTCCGCCTCCTGAGTGCTGGGATAAACGGTGAGCACCACTATGCTAAATTGTTTTTCAATCTTTTAAATGTTTATTTATCTGTAGGTGTTTGTGGTGGGGGTGTGCACATGACAGAAAACTCTCAGGAATGGGTCCCCTCCTTCCACCACATGGGTCTCAGGAATCAAACTCACGCTCTCAGGCTTAGCAGCAAGTGCCTTTACCCGCCGGGCCATCTTGCTGGCCCAGCTTTTATTTCCCATAGAATTAGAATCTAAATTTAGAAGGAGTTCTAAATTTCCGGTGGTCTTTCATGAAAACATGATGTCATGCTGGTGTCACATGCACCTTCTGCTCAAGGGGTCACGGTGGGCTGTGTACTGGCTTTTGAAAGGGTGTATACGGGTACAGAAAAGAAGCAATCCATAACAGTCCAACCATGCTGCTCCAGAATTCAGGAGTCAGAGGCTCTGACTGCCCTGCAGTGAGGGAGCGCCGGACACTGTCGCAGTGTATGTGCTTGCCTCTCCAGGGAGGAAGAAATGAAATGAACTTCAGTTTTACACTCCTGAGCTCCACCTGGATGCTGAGCCAGCAAGAGAGCGCATAATTTCCCTGAGAACTAGCACAGTAATGGGGGGGGGCAGCACTCTCTATGTTATCTTCCACTCACCAGCACTGCCGCTGGGGGTAGCCAGCCTTCCCTGCAAAAGGTGTTGCCTGCCTTGGTCCACCTGGCAAAGCATCCAGAGATGAAGCATAAAGAGACATATGGCTGAGTTCTAATGAAATTTGTCTACACTGGCATTTGAATTTATGTGATTTCCACATGTCATGAAATTATGTTTCTTTCATTTGTTTCCAGCCACTTAAAAATATAAAAGACTACTTTTAACTTATGGGCCAGATAAGAAAAATAGGTGGTAGACTAGATTTGGTCTGAGAACTGTGGTTTACTGTTGCCCAAATTAGCATCTCATTTAATTCCCACCAGGGCCTCAAACTTGTTCAATCATTATCCCCATTTAAGAGATGAGTAAACTGAGGTTCAAGTGGAACTATGACCTGGGGATAATGATGCCTAGGTCATAACTGTTTAGCCTCATTCTCTCCACGTGGTGGGCAGCTAGATGGGAAATGTGGAGTCTTAAAATTAGAAATGGAAGGTGTAGGACTAACTGAGGTGGGGGTGGGGGGAAGCAATGTCTAAAACATTCTTCATTTTGTTAAAAATGTCTTGCCTTTCTTCACGTCCCCACTAGCTTTGTCTTCTTTTGATATTAGGAACATATTAATTAACTCACTCCTAGTCCATGTTAAGTGTATAGCACAAGGTGAAATACGTTTGGCTGTTTCAGATCAACTCCAGATTTTAACACCTGAGCTGCAGGGACTATGGGGCTCCTGGGATGAAGGAATACATTGATTTCTCCCCCAAAACTTAGAGAACTCAGAATCTCCAAGCTGGCTGATGCTTTTCAGGTCAACAGGAGAGAAGATTCTGGGTTCTCAGAAAATATCCAGTAAACTCACAAGAACTTTCTGGAATCACGAGCAGCCCAAGCCCTGCTGAGTTATTAATTTCAATTCAAGAAAGGAAAGAAGAAAGGAAAGAAAGAGTTGATGAATGACCAAAAAGAACAAATGAAGAGAGGAGGAACAATAAATAACAAAACCAACAGGCTGTCAGGCTTTTTCTCCTATAAGAATCATAACACATTTAGGGGAACAATGGGAATGGGGGAGGGGAATGAGAAGTGCAATGAGGGGAGAGGAGTGTGGGGATAGCACACTCAAAGTATACTATATGCTTGTGTGAAAATGTCCTTATGTAATTTAATAGCATGTGAAGTGTGTGTGTGTGTGTGTGTGTGTATGCCAATAAAAAGTACACAAAAGGAATCATACACAGCTCTTCCAGTGTTCACGACTAACATTCAGGGAAACTATCTGGATTCCCAGCATGCACTTGGCTCCAGTAACTGAACGCGTGCATGCTGTTCATAGTAACGGGACACGAGACCCCAGAAGGATCCAGCCACATTTTGCTTGGACAAAGTGCTCATGTCCTGTTGTATCTTAAGAAGCTGTGAAGTCATTGGTCCCAAAATAAAAATGTTCGACGTCTGCACTGCTTTCAGCACTGGGAGCTGCTGTCTTGGGCCTGAAGTTCCCGAGGCCCCATCAATTAATTGCTCGGGATGACATTTTCAAAAGGTACATGTATGTGTGTGAGAAAGAGAGAGCTCACACAGTGCCATCCCCTCAGATATGAACGTACTACTTAAAAAACTTAGACTATCTCTAGAACATTCTGTCTGTCAGTCTATCAGGTGCAAATCCCTTTGGTCAGCTTTCTATCAGAGTCAACAGTTTGGATTATTGCTGTGGGACATTATCTCTCATGTCTGAGGCAAATGAACGAACCTGAGTACCACCCAAAGTTAGCGAGAACCTGGATAACCATGGAAACGAAAGCGAAGGAGCAATCAATGCAGAATGAAGCAGAAGATGCAACCCCATCCCTTACAGATGTGCAAAGCCATTACTCTGTGCAGTAGACTCGTTCAGCCCTAAAGGATGACAAGCTAAAAAGAGAATGTGCTGGCTTTGCTCTTACTTTTTTTCCCCTTATTATTGGGGATCATAAAACAAATTGATTCAGTATTGGTGCCCCCCTCCCTTTTGTCCCTAATCATAAAAAGGGATGAAAGAGTCTACACAGGATGTGCAAATTAGGGATCTCCACACTGAGTGCCCAATGGCCCAGCACACCAAAGATGACAGTGGAATGATTTAAGATGGCACCCAGTCACTTACGTTCTCCTCTGCACCTGTGGAAAGTGTATCCTCTTTAACTGACTAGAAGAAGATAAAACAAAAACAAGTCAAGGTATTACCGACACAAGTCCTGTGAAAGCAAAGGGCTATCTGGTCTACCAGTCCAGTAGGGCAGTTCTCAGATACTACATTGCTAATGTGGACCTGTTCTAGCAAGGACTCAAAGGAGGCTTCCACAAAGGCAAGCATACAGTAAGTATAGCTAGTTGTGTATTTCAAAATGCAACAAACAGAATAAATACAATGTTACAGATAGGTACACATGGGACAGGAATGTCACAGAAAACAAGAACCACAAAGTTGCGGCTATGGAAAAGCACATATTTGCTTCACATTTTCTATTAGCCCGTCAAATCAGAACAACAATATTAACTATATGATAATATGTAACAATAGTTATTTTTATTGCTAAATATCATACCTTTCCGGCTAGCTTTGCACTCACTCTATAATCAAAGATGACTTTGAACTTGTGATTCTCTTGCTTCTATTTTTCCAGGACTGTGATTTCAAGTGTATACTGCTGCACTCACTTCTGTGGTGCTGGGAAGCAAATCCAGGGCTCCCTGCCTGCTGGACAAACATTCTACCAACCTCTCTAGCCCAGGAGAAAAAAATATAGCCCCTCAAAACACAGCTACTGTTAGGGAAAACATAAACGTCTTGGGGGAAATTCTATGAGAGAAATAGAGAAATGTTCCTCAGGTCTTTATGGAGCAAGTAGGCACTCCTGCCCCATAAGAGGGTCCCAGCCCTATCTGACCATAGTCTTTGGTCAGCACTAGAGGCTGCTTCCTACCTTAGCCCTCAGTCTGGGACAACTCTGTCCTGTTCAAGTTCAACCTGGATTGGAATAGTCCATGAAAGGCCAGGCCCTGGAGTTCCACACACACTTGAATTCAGACACTGAATCCTATTGAGTCTCCAGACATCCGGAGTCCTGCTCCAAATAGAGGAGGCATCCTGAATCTTCCAAAGGTCAATGCTATTCTCTATCAGATGTCTATGACCCTGGAGGTCATCTTGATATCTTTCCTTCAGTGGTTCTTAAACTTTGGTGTATGGGGTATTGGCGGATACAGGCTGCTTTGAGAATTTTCCAGAAACAAAATACATCACAAATGATACTAGTATGCTCACAGACCTTTTTATGACTTCTTGGATTCTAAGTTAAAACCATTTAGGGAAGTGACTTTGGTCCTGCCTAGTAACAGGAAGGAAAGGAGAGAAGGGATATCTACACTAATCCCTCGGGCACCTGCCACATCCTGTCTTCTTTAAAGCATCTCAAACAATACATATATGACCACCATTTACGGTGTAAGAAACACACAGAGAAGCCAAGTCACTTGCTAAGGTTAAACAGACAGAGAGTGAGGATGCCATGCTGAAGGCCAACCCCTTGTCTGGTTACTATAAACTAGCTGTCAGCCTAGCTAGGACCATCAGCTAGGATTGTTTCCTTCTGCTCATCTTGTTTCCATATCGATGGCATCCTGGGCACAGAAGAACACAACATTTCTGGAAGCTTCTGTCGATGAGGAAACGTTGCTCCAGCCAGAAGCTGTTTACAAGGATTGCTGCTTTCTTGGCATGTGAGCTAGTTGGCATTTGCCAACTTGACACAAACCTAGACTTCTGGGAAGAGGGGATTCTCACTGATAAAACACCTCTATAACCTTGGCGGGCAGGCATGTCTGCAGGGTTTTGTCTTGTTTAGTGATCAGTGGGGAGGGGGACTCAGCCTGCTGTGGGTGGGGCCACTTCTGGGCAGGTGGCCCTGGGTTTTATAAGAAAGCTGGCTGAGGAGGTCATGGGGAACAAGTCAGTAAGGAACATCCATCCATGGCTTCTGCTTTAGCTCCTGCCTCCAGATTCCTGCCTCGAGTTCCAGCCCTGACTTCCCTCGGTGATGGAGAGTGACCTGAAGTAAACTCTTGTCTCCATGCCTTGCTTTTGTCACAGTGTTTTATCACAGCGATAGAGATGTAACCAAGACAGAAGCTACTGAATACTACACACAGGTAAAGACTCAAAGGATAATTTTTAAAGTCAGACTTCTTCAAGCCCAACCCACAATGGCTTCAGGAGTCATACTGTTCACACTGTGTCAAGTAAACAACCCCACTGTTTAAGAGTAGAGCCCACAGGGTTTCAAGTCCCAGCTCTCTGCAGCAAGGCCAGTCTGTATCTTGGACGTTTCTGTCCGTAAAGTTCCTAGCTTGTCAGTTTCAGGAGACACTGTGACACAGGTGTGACACAGTTTCAGGGCACAGGGGACAGAGAGGGGCATGGGGGTGTTCATTCTGAACACTGATGTTTCCTTGATCTTAGCTGTGGCTTTAGATTTCCAGAGCCTTCTGCGTGTTTTGGGGTTTGGGATGCAGTTCAGTTGGCAGTATGTTTCCTTGGCATGCACAGAGCCTCCGATCCCATAACCAACACCACCTGGCATGGTGGCACATGCCTGTAAAATCCCAGCACTTGGGGTGAGAGGATGGAAGGATAAGATTAGCTACCTAGTGGGTTTGTGAGCAATCTGAGATTGACATGTTAACACTTGTAATAGTCAGACTACTCAGCAAAGCATTCCTTTTTTTAAAGTGTCTTATTTGTGTGTACCTTTATGTGTGATATAGCATGCCTTCAGAGGTCAGACACCAACTTACAGAAGTCCTCTCCATCCATCAAATGGGTCCCAGGGATCGAACTCAGGTCATCAGGCTTGGCAGCAAGCACCGTTACCCACTGAGTGATCTCATTTGCCCTAACAGTCCTTATTTTGAGAACCCAACTGAGCCTCCCCCATACTTGAATAACTTTGACAGCATCTTTGAGTTCAATACTGTCCTATACCACTTGAATTTGTAATCTTTTTTTTTTCTTTACATTGTCCGTAGTTTTGCTTAGAACTATTCAGTCAACGTGGTATCAGCATTTCTGCTGTGTCAACGGCAGCACATATAAAAAGCACATGAGGAAACAAAGCTCACAACTTCTAATTGTGAGTGGTTGCTAAAAGGGGCTACGGCTACATGGCTGGCTGTTGTGGTCTTCACAAACGGATGCCTGTGTTCCATCAACCCCAGAGCTAAGAATGTCTCCAGATAGCATCGGAGACCATGCTCCGCACTGCTGTGGGCTGATGTTTCCACCAAGCATGCTGATTTATGACTTTCTTCGTTCTGCTAAGATGAAAAGTGCATGAAACCGTTGCTGCTGGGATGTGGTGTTTCAGAGAACCTGAGTCTGTTCCTGAGCCACGCTCTCTAACAGTTAGCCCAGGGTAAAGCCTTGCTCCCTTTGAGGTGAGAGTTATGCCAACAGCAGCTTAGTCCAGACCCTGCCTCAAACTCAAAAATTAGGGTGAGGGTGGGGATATAGTTCAGTGGCAGAGTACTTGCCAAGTGTCAATCATTCATATATATATGGAAAAATGAAAACAGCTTGTACCATGCAATGTTAAGGTGTGTGTGTGTGTGTGTGTGTGTGTAGGACTGTACCCAAGAACCAGCAAATCTTTCTGAACTTTGTATAATTTCGTAAGTTTGCTGGAAGGTTCTGCCTCCCCACCAGTAGCTACTGAAACATCCAGTTAACATAAAGATTCAGAAAGGCCAAGAGGCCAAGTCCAGCCACGGTTTCATACCGCATGGAATCGAAAATCAATTCAGACGCCAAATCCTGGACATTGTGGTCATAGATCTCAGAACAATTTATGATCACTTGTCTTAGCTTCCTAGACCCACACAGACAGGCCAAGTCGGGGCGGGACATAGATTTGTTTATATCCATCAGTTCAAGGAGATTGATGTGGCTCATTTGCATATGCAAAGCAATTAACACACTGACGAATCACTGATGGGCAGGACCACATCTTGATCAAGACAGCTTAGCTACCATGTAACCATGTACCAGCTTAGTTACTATGTAACCATAAACCACATGTCAGGACCAGAAGACTGAGTCTGGGGTCACTGGGCTTCTTTATTTGTTCCTCTTCCAAATGTGGCCCCATTAAACTCCTCCCCTTTCACTATTGGTGGCTCGAGGATGCATAGCCTAGCTTTTAACAGTTACCAGGACCCAGGCTCTCACCCTAACAACCCCAATAACAAGGAGTCATTGTAAACACTGCTTCATTTACACAGGGCTCCTAAGTTGGAATGGGGTAGGCAGGGTGTGACGTGGGTCTCAGAACCTTAATGGCTCATTTTCTGCATAGTCAAGGGGCACACTGACTCTTGTAACACAAAGTTCTAGGTCATACCAACCTCAGTCTGTTTTCTCGATGTCTTTACTCTCCACCGTTCCGTCTGTGTTAATGACCTCACCGAGCTGGTGAGGTCGATATTCGAGTTTGTATGACATAGTACACATTTTACTGATAAACAGATAAAGACAGGACCCAGTCCGGATTCCACAGGCTTCCACGGAGGGAGCCGCCACATGCTGTGGTTTCCAGTCTTCCGCTGTGTCCAGACAAATCAGATGCAGCCACAGAGCTCACAATACACAGAATGTCTAGGATGAAGGGCAAAACTGTGGTAACGACTCACACCAGGGGGCTGCCTGACATCCTGTTGGGCATTTCCATTTCTCCTAAGGTCATTTGTCAGTTTTAGGTTGTCTCCACCATAGGAGCTTTGCTCCTATGCCAAAAGCCTATCTTTCTATGGAGGGAGTGGGAAGTGTCTCTGTTCCTCTCTGAAAGATAACACCGACCATCATGAACCAAGTCTGGGTCTTGTGCTTCATCTGTATTTGCCCCTGACCTGATTTCCCAGCTCAGTACCCAGGGGCAGATGAGAGCCTTGGCAGCCCTCTGCCCCTCTTCTCTGTCCTTAGGAAAAGTCTATGGCTGAGAGACCAGGAGGACCAGATGACAGTTCGGTGTCCTCCACAGCTAGTGAGCAAATGAGCCAGATGAAGGGCAGAGACAGTTTGATTACCCAGAATGCTCTGTGAGGGTGCTGCAGAAGTGTGAAGGAAAACTGAACAGAGCGGCTGAGAGAGAGTCTCACTTGGGTGCAAATGAAGAGCATACGGTGTTTTGAAGGTAAGACACAAGCTGCCCAGACTAAAAATGGAATAACAAGACGGAGACCAGATCTCAGAGGCTTCCTGGAAGGGGCAGCCTAGTGATTAATGTCCTATTAAATCTGAACTTCAGATCGACAAATAATTTTTCTGGCATAAATATGTTACAAATAGTGCGTGGAGCACACTTAAATTTATACTAAAGTTACTTCTTTTTCATTAATAATTTTAATAACATGTGGGGGCTGTCTTAGTTTTTTCAACCTCTTTGTGATAGGGAATGTCTGATATGAATCATTCAAACCTCAAAAACAGATTAATTACCCCAACTTCCTCCAGTAGCCCCTGGCTCTTAATTGCTTAATCTAAAAAGTAGCCCAGCCTGTTAACAACAGTAAACACTCTCATTCAAAAAACTGGCAGAGTTCCATGGAAGGTTTGCGTATTGCTGAGAACAAGGAGCTATAAGCCAGACTAAATGCTCACATAGAGGGAAGGTGGACAGGAAGTCCCACCCTCGCCAAGGTATGATTGGCGACTGACAGCTGCAGGGAGACTGAGCGTTGGTTTTATGAGACAGAGAGTGGGAAGTTGGCTACACTCCAATGGAAGGCCACACATCCAAGAATAAACGGCGGCACAAAATAGATTTGAAAGGGTGAAGAAGCTTAAAAACAGGACGTACAGCTGGGTGGGTAGGGGAGGGGTGGTTCTGCGGGAGTCGTGGGGGAGGGTGAGTATTATCGAACGCACTGCACAGAATTCTCAGAGATCTAATAATAAAAACATTAAAAAAAAACCTATAAAGAGCGACACAGCACGTAACTTATCCACGTCAGCTCCACCCATAGCGCCCTCTTGTTTAAAAGAATACATTCCATTCCTAAAGTTTCTTTAAGAGAGAAGATGGCCCATTTCGATCACGTGACAGCTGGAATGCGTGAGCTCACAGATGTCCGATGAACATCTGTGTCCCACAAAAACAGATGTCCCACAAAGCCTGATGTATCATCTCATTGCTGGTGTGTCTGGGGGCGTCGTGTCTGGGAGCGTCTAGCCTTTTGTTGGGGTTTCCTTGCCTCGTGGGCACGGGAGGGTGGAAAGGTCTGTCAGTGAGCGACAGTAGCCCAGATGGCCAGGACAGGGACAACATCCTGGAGGTGTGTCAGACTTCCTGCAGGGACAGATTCCACCTGTCACAGCTTCAGCACTCTGATAACTCTGTCACTGATAGAGCACAGGGGGTCCTGGGTCACGTATTCCTGTCCAGTGTGGGACTCGAAGCGTGAATAGCTGTAACTTTCCCCGCCTGCGTACTTCTGTCAGCACCAGCCTCAAGCCCAGTCTGTCTGTCCTTCCTTCCTTCCTTCCTTCCTTCCTTCCTTCCTTCCTTCCTTTTTCCTCTTTCCTCCCCCTCCCCCAACAACCTCTCACTGTGGCCTCAACACTGGTTCCCAGTTTCCCCACCCCTTTGCCATCCACAGGAATCTCCCTCAGGAATCACTCATGTACTTCTTCTGTTTGATGTGCGCTTCTTGGAGAATCCAAATTTTCAGCACACTGGGACCACTGTTTACATAACACGTTCCCTTTTTACTGGATTCCTTTCTAAACTCAACACACCTAGCCTCACCTCGAGCAATAATCTGCTTTAAAAAATGATTTAGTTTGTGTGTATGTGTGTATGTGCGCATGCGTGTGTGTATGTGTATGTGTATGTGTGTGTGTGTGTGTGTGTGTGTGTGTCCACAGAAGCCAAAGGCGTCAGGTCCTATGGAGCTGGAGTTCCAGGAAACTATGAACTTCCCAACATGGGTACCAGAATGGAATACAGGTCCTCCGCAAGAGGCTGCAGAAATGTATATTGATCTCAAGTTACTTTGAATATACGTACAATTTTTTTTTGTTTTTTGTTTTTTGGTTTTTTTTCGAGACAGGGTTTCTCTGTGTAGCCCTGGCTGTCCTGTTGTTTTGTTTTTGAGACTAGGTCTCTCTATTTAATCCTGCTGTCCAGGAAGTCACTCATTAAACCAGGCTAATCTTGGAATCTCAGAGATCCTCTTGCCTCTGCCTCCTTTGTGGTAGGATTAAAGGCGTGAATCATCATACCTGGCTGAATATGTGTATAGCTATCATATGTACTTGTATATATGGCATATAGTTACATAGATGATAAATATATGTACATAATACATATGTCTCATTCATATATGAATACAGAATCATTCTTTAAATGTGAATATTCAAATATAGGTCACTGGAGTAATTTCCTGTGCCACCAATATGTGCATGTAAATCGTTTAGACATTGTCTTCTATGTTATACTTCTGGCAAAAGATTTCTAAATTAATAAGTAGAGGCAGAAAGAGGCTTAAGAGTCTCAGCTGACATTTTACAACGTGTTCCTGAATGATCTGGAATCAGTATTCTCGAAGTATCTAGAAGAAAAACTTTCTACAACAAAAAATAAACCAGAAAGTGGCTCAGGGGTGTGTCCAGCTGGATTCTCCACAAGAGAGTGAAGTGGATCGGGTAAGTCTACATTTTTCACTGTTCTGTGCAGTGTGCCAAGTGGCACAGGTTTTGAAGAAGCCACCGAGAGAGATTGGTGCTTCCAGCTGTGCGTGTTCCCCCCCCCCACCCCCGCGCGCTTCTCATTCATTTCTTGGAGAAACTTGAACCGGGTCGGGCGTTACAGTGGGGTTTGCTCTGCACCAAAGCAAAACTTCAGCCCAGCCAACGTTTCTGTGTACAGCGTACCTCCTCTACCTTTCTTGTAGACCACACACCTCGCCCCTGCTGTCGATATGGTGGACACACTTATTTTCTAAAATGGGGGATCAAGAATCATCTCAGAAGGTTGCATCTGAACAGGGAGGGATGAAGACAGAACACCCTCTCGCCAGACAGGGTATGTGCTGAGGAAGCCCAGGTTACCGACCATCACAGGGGACAATATACCCACGACACACCACAGCCTTCTGCCACTGATCCAGGCCATTCAAAGAATGAAACTGTTACTTGTTTGTCTCTGTTTCTCCCCAACAAAGCACCTGCGCACTGCACGACCCGCGACTCATTCCACCCGGGAGTACATTAGGAGTCCTGGATTCAATGACAAGTTGAATCATGGAGGAGGAGAAAGATAACCTCTGAGAATCGTCAATATCCGTTGGCCCACCGGAAATAACTCCTGAGCTACCTCGGCCTCAAGGACCCTGCAAACACCGCACAGACTCACCTTCTTCCAAAACAGCTTTCCTAGCGGCAACGAGGTGGGCCCTGTCTTCTCCTTGCCGCCTTCTCTTGCATCACTGGTTGTCCCAGGTGGTACCTGGCCTGGCGGGCTGCAGCCTTTGGCACTCTTGGTCCCTTGGGTCTCCTGGGGTGTGAAGTTGGCTTTGTCTGACTTGAGATTGGCTGAAGTAGTGGGTGAGTTCTCAGTATCCTGTAAAGTTTTGTTTTTAAAAAGAAAAGCGAAACACGAAAAATTTCATGCTTTCGAAAGTAAAAGGTTTTCTGTTAATATAAGCGTGGGCTGGGGTCTGGTGTGATGTTAAATTTTTTTCTTTCAAATTTTTTTTGTTTTATGCTAATTTTCTTCTGCTTTATGTTAAAACCTTTTTTTATTTTCCTTTTGAGAAGGAAAAAAGGGGGAGACTTGTTAGTAATGGCGCTTATGTAAGTAACTTAGGGGGGTAGGTTTTGGAGAGAGGAAGTGTGTTATTAGAAAGTGAAGTTCTGGGCTAGTTCTTAGCTCAGTGGGGAAAGAAACTTGCCTACAACCCGATGAACTGAGTTCAAAATCCAGAACCCACATAGCAGAAGGAGAGAAGGAGTCATTCTGAGGGTTGTTCTCTGACCTGCACACGTCTACTGTGGCTTGCCTGTGCCTGTACACACTACACACACGCACATGCACACACACACATGCACGTGCATGCACACTCATATACACACCCCAGTCAACCACTCAGTCAATGTAAAAAGAAAGATAAGAAGGAAGGAGAGAATGAAAGGACAGAGAGAGAGAGAGAGAGAGAGAGAGATCTTGCCAAGGCGGCCCTTGTCTCCAGATAGTTTTTGACCAGGCTACCATCCACAGATGTATTCTGACTCTGCACACAATCATGCATGCCAGCTTGTATCTTTTTTATAAACACTATTTCCATATCAAGCCAAATTGGAAGCTAAGGAAGGCTGGAGATAAGATGTCGGCCGTAGGAGTTCTGAATTTTTTTCTCCTGCTTCCCACTTTGGAGATCCAGGCCATGGAGAAGGCAGGAAGGAGTCTGAACACTGGTGAAGATGCACAGACAGCACTCCTGCTCTGTGATATTCCCTTCACATCCCACACGCAGCCTCTTCAGAGGTAACCCTTGGTTCTGTTCCCTCCCCCTCTTCCTCCCTTGACATCTCCAGCCTCCCTTTCCCACCCTCCCCTCAGCTGTGTAAAGTCCAGTTGAAAGTATCTAACGTTGCTTTCCTTTCCTTTTCTCTCTTTTTTTTTGCCCTCTGTTTTTTTCTTTTCTCTTTCCATCCCCAAAGGACCTCATGTAGTCCAGGATAGCCTCAACTCCTTATACAGACAAGACTGACCTTGAACTTCTGACCCTGCTGCCTCTATCATACCATCTCAGGTCTGGGAACACAGCTCTGCACCAACATATCTGTTTAATACACCTTTTCTTCCCCAGTAAATTAATTACTCGTTAATTCCTAGTCTCTGCTTCCCCTCAATCACTGGATAAGGACTCACAAAGCCTAAACCTATCTAGACATGAGTGAATACTGACGTTCCAATTTTAGCATCAGATTCTTTGGAGCTGACTTCATTACAGTAAGCATCTCCATGTCATATCTTTTGCACTCTGGACTTCGAGACAGGATCCCCTTAAATTCCCAGACAGTTTCTGATTAAAAGAAAAATATCTGACAATAAAAATGGGATCCAGACAAATTCAGGAAATTTCAGAATATTTTTTAGTTCTGGATTTTTTTTTTTTTGGTTGTTGTTTTGTTTTTGATAGGCCTTTCCATGTAGCTCTGATTGGGCCAGAAGCAGCTATCCTCCTGGCTCAGTCTCCAGAGTGCTGGGATTACATACAGGTATGCACCATGATACTATATATGATCAGAGTCTTGAAAGCCATCTTTCTAAAGTTTACATTTTCAGATAAGGGCACTGGGGCCTATGATCTGACTAACTCTAAACTGAGAGGGGTGGAGAAAGAGGGAGAGAGGACCAGATCCTGCCATGGCCGGTTTCCATCTAGTCCTTGATTCCTCGGACAGAGTCAAGCACAAAGCTTTACTTGCTTTGCCTTCTTGCCAGCCCACCTTCTCACTCCCTCACCCCATGTGGTATTCTGCCGCCATTAGATAATTTACTGTCCTTTCTCTGGATTCTGTAGGAGACAGTGAAGACTCTAGCCTGACTCAGAGGCAGGTTATCGGACTGCAATTAAAAATGACAATATAGGAAAGATAGTTTAGTGTTAGGAGAGCATCCTGCTCTTGTAAAAGATCTAAGGTTGGACCCCAGGATCCACGTGGGGTAGCTCAGAACCACCTGTAATTCCAGCTCCAGGGGATTGAAGCCCTCTACTGGACTCTTTGGGCACCTACACTCACATGTGACAGACACATATACACACATATGTAATTTTAAAAACAGGAATCCCCCATTAAATTTGAGTTTCAAACCAGCATATAATAACTTCTCCAGTATAAGCATATCCCAAATATTGCATGGAATATACTTAAATTTATTCTAAAATTATTTATTTTTTATTAATAATTTAAGTTACTATATAAAGAATGGATTTCATGACAGCATAAAATCATTTCTTGTGTATCTGAAGTCTGAATTTTACAGTGCATGCTGTATTCTATCTTATGACCCTATCCTTGGGTCTCTAATGGCTCTGGGGACTATCTTCTTAATAAGTAATCCCTTTGGATTTATTTCTGGATGTGGAACATAGGAGGGCTCAGTAAGGTACAAACATCAGAATATGAACACAAAACAATGGCTATGTGGGAAGCTATGTGCTACTTTTTAATGATTTTTTAAAAAAAATAATTTATGTGTGTGTGTGTGTGCAAGCACACATGCACAGTTGTGTCCAGTGCCCTCAAATGTAAGAAGAGAATGTTGGATGCCCTGGAGCTGCAGCTTCAGACAGCTGTGAGCTGTGAGTGCTGGGAACTGAACTCGGATCCTCTGAAAGAGCAGCGAGTGCCCGTAACCCCTGAGCCTTCTCTCTAGACCCCAGACCATTCTTTAGTGTTCCTTTCTTTCTTACTGCAATACCTATCTTTCTCTCCTCACAGGAAAAAAAAAAAGCCTTTGTGGATGTTGAAGGTGGCCCTCATGTTATTTGCATATGCAAATGTAGATTTTGCTGTGTGGGTGTTCTGTGGAAAATTCCATTTGCATACACAATCCTGGAACTTTACAAAATGGAGCTAGAAACTTTTTTCTTTTCTTTTTTTGTTTGTTTGTTTGTTTCTTTTTTCTTAAAAAAAAAACAGGTTCACTAACTTTGGTGGACAATGGTTAATATTTTAAAAATAGATTTCAAGCATTTGGCCCCAATTTCTAGTTCCTTTGAATTGTTGGTTTTAGGCGCGTACTGTGTCTTCCTTTATGTAGGAAGAGCTTGTCATCCAAGCTGAGCCCATGTCAGTTGGCACCATTGGCTCTGCCTTCATTCACGGCTTTCCTCTCCTTGGCATCTACGTGGGCTCAGTATGAACTCAGTCAACAGAGGGAGCAGGTGAGGCAGACAACAGAAAGGTGATATTGTTATCTTGAGGTTAGAAGAGAATTTCCCAAAGAGTGGATGGCATACTACAACTTTATGATCCAGATACGAAGCAAAACTCAAATAGCTTACTTTCCCCTTTCTGACTTTCCAATCATCTGCAGAAAAGTCTGCTGGCGGGATGATTCTAATAGCCTTCACCAGCCAGTGCCTTCCAAAGCAAAGCCTGGAGTACACTGGATTCAAGGCTCTACAGAGATGAGCTAGAATGTTATTTTTAATTAACCACATTAATGGTCATTTTCCTGTTAGGAAAAATGATTCCGAGTTTCCTCATATAGTGGAATATGAAGCTTAATTTTTAAAAGGCACATATAAATAAGAATAGTCAATTTTAATATAAAAATACCAAGTGATTAATAGTGTGTTTAAGTAAAGTTGATGAATGTACGCCAACGACTGACATCTGGGAAACACTGGATGAGAATTTCAGAACCCTGGTCCACACTTGGAAGGAGCCAGTCTTTTGTTTATAGCTATGGGGACTTAAATGCCCCAATTTCAGTCCTCAGCATCTTCAATTCCCTCACACTGATCACGGCCACCCAAGGCTTGGGATCTCCTGATGAGGAGCTCATAGGTACTGGATCCTAGGCATCAGAGTGAAGAACAGGGTCCTTTTCCCTCCTGGTATGAGGAGATACAGACCTTGTGCCTAAAGAACTTTCTAAAGGAGAGTCCTAGCCTGGGGCTGTCCAGGCGCTTCTTCTTGCTTTTAGCCTGCGTCTCCGACATCTTCTGTCCAGCGTGTCCATCGCAGACACTGTCTGCCTTGGTTGCCTTCCGGACAACATCAGGCACAGCTTAGAGATTCGCTTTTAAACAAACCCATATGTCTCTTCTGTATATTCAGACACTGCAACAATTAGTTACTGGTGTGTCATTCACATCTCTCAACCGCAAAGCATCATGGGAATATGTACCTTTTTAAAGTTCTCAAAAATAACCCGCTAAACAGTATATTCAGAGTCAATCTCAGGCACACATTGTTTTTTAACAGGGTCGCCTTTATAAATGATCCAAATCAACACATCTCAGCACCCCATTCTCCAATTCAAAACAACCCCTGTATCCTCATTTACTTAAGCTGGTAACATTTTGAGCTATGACCACATGGCTTAAAATATCAAATGAAACATAACCACAACCAAAAAGTTAACACTGCAATCTTGACTAACAGCTTTAAATATGTAAACCTGGAAAAGAAACAAAGTAAACCACGGGCTGCTGACAAGGGATAGTTTGTGTCTTGATTTTGTTTCCTTGGCTAAATGTTACCACTAAATGACTTTCATCTCCAAACCAATTTTCTTTGAATCTGTGTTTGAACTTTCATGGGAATAATATCACCCACAAACATTTTGAGTGACTTCTACATGAGCAGATTTCCCAGGCCAAGGAAGTTTCTGGTGTGAGTCATTCATCTGAGCCAAAACGGGGGTGGGGGGGCAGGAATCAAAGTAACTGAGCTAAAATGACTACAAACTGTTGACTCAAGCGACAAATGATGTGAAGCTTTTCATGAAACATGTAGGACTTTAACATCACCCAGGTGGTGGGAGAGCTGGCTCAGCAGTTAAGAGCACTGGCTGCTCTTCCAGAGGACCGGGTTCAGTTCCCAGCACCCACATGGAGTTCACAACTTCCTACAGCTCCTGTTCCAGGGGATGAGATAGCCTCTTTAGTCCTCCATGGGCACTGTATGTATGTAAGGCATTCACATACATGTAACCAAAACACCCCTACACATATAATAAATATATAAAAATAATATAATATGTAATTTTATATTATATATAAATAATAATTATATAGAATAATATATTCAAATTATATATAAAAATGACTCAGGGTGGAACGGGACTGGGATGGAGATTTTTTCAACAGCACTTTGGGACCTTTAGAAGAAAAAGATGCCCCAAAGATAAATTCAGAACAGGAGAGGCTGGCTCCTGGGCGTCACAAACAACCTTACTCATGACCCTTATTCAAAACCCAGGCTCCCAACAGGGACTTCTCAGCCCTCTGGGTGGGACACTGAGACTTAATCACCAAGGTATGCTCTGTGGGGACCGAATCTGCACTGTGGATGGGTCTTGGTGCATGGACCAGCTAAACAGAAAGAGTGCCTGGGGTCACTTGGAAAGTCACCCAGCCACCCACACCCTCCGCAGCTGACAGCCCAGTGTGCTGAGTGAGGAGCTCCAAGGACTGAAAACCACAGAAACAAAAGAGAAACATTTTGGCCAACCATTCATTGAATTTGACCTTAGCTGCCTCATAGCAAATGAGTAGTTTTAAGGAATCTTTTTTTTTTTTTTCAAAGAGAGAAGAAAATTCTAGAAGAATTGATCAATCCACTATGAAATTTTGGAAATAAGGTTGACTATGTTTGAACAGAGCACTACAGTTAGCAAGACATGATAGCGCCTTCCCTCAACCCTGCATCTGGTAGACAGAACCTTAACTGGGCCCAGTTTTTACAGAGGTGGAGACTTGGGTTGGGGTAAGTTAGGATCACACAGCCATCACGTTGAAGACCTGGAGCTCAAACGCAAGCTTTCCAGGGTAAAATAAAGGGTGTTCCCTCCAGCCGTGGTACAGCTTATGTCGGTAGATGGGGCTGGCTAAGACATTTACTGCATCCCTGACCCCACCAAAGCACTTCTACTGGATGATTGTCTCTCAGCTTAAACTGCCTCCCGGTTTCCATGAAATTTAAGCCACATGTTCTATTACAGGCCACCAGCCCTGCCACAAGGAAGAAAAAGCCGGTTATTGGTAAGCCAGTTCTTTCAGCCCAAGTTTACTTAGAGAGGAAAGGTCTACACCTGCAGCCTGTAAGCCTCCAGGCTCAGCAGGTTCCTGACTCTACCTGGTCTTTCACAGCAGGCTTCCGGGGGCAACTATTTTAGTTCAACATTGTTTTGCAGTAGAGATCCACTTTTTTGTTTGTTTTTTGAGACAGGGTTTCTCTGTGTAGTCCTGACTGTCCTGGAACTCACTCTGTAGACCAGGCTGGCCTCGAACTCAGAAATCCGCCTGCCTCTGCCTCCCAAGTGCTGGGATTAAAGGCGTGTGCCACCACCGCCCGGCGAGATCCACTTTTCAAATTATGTGAAAACGGAAAACACATTAACGGCCTCAGATCTAGAGCTTCTGCCTTCCACTTCAGGGAAAGTCTCAAAAAACAAACAATCAAAACAAAACTCTATTTCCTCATTTTCTTTTCTAAGCACAATGGAAAAAGACAATGATGGTATAGTTAGTAGTAATTTGTATATTGTATATTTAACATTTGAGTATTGTGACATTCTTTAGCCAGAACTAGTCTATCATCTCCCCCCACCCCCCTTCAAGACAGGGTCTCACTGTGTAGCTCTGGCTGTCCTGGAACTCACTATGTAGACTAAACTGGCCTCACCTCAAACTCACAGAGATCCACCTGCCTCTGCCTCTGCCTCTGCATCTGCCTCTGCCTCCCCAGTGCTGGGATTAAAGGCATGTGCCACTGTCCCTAGCTAAAATTTTTACTAAAATACCATTGACCAGGGCAGGGTAGCTAAGTGGATAGAGGGCTTGCCTTCCAGGCAAGAGGCCCTGGATCCAACCCCACAGCACTACAGAATCAAAGCAAACAAAACGACAGTCATAACCTAAGACACTTTATGGACAAGCCATCAGTGCTACTAAATTTCTAAGTAGATTCATACATGTGCATATATTAACACACTATGCATGATATGTATATCATCTAATACACACTCACACACAAACGGAAACCGATTCTCTGCTTAAACCCTGACACATACACACTTTGGGGGTGCCTACCGTGTCTTCTGGGTCCTTCTTTGTTTCAGTTTTGTTAGACGAAACCTGAAAAGTTGAAACAATGTAGATGTTAAAAGAAAGCTGTCTCTTGAGGGTGACGTTTATCTTATACAGACAGACTCTTCAGGGCGGTCTAGCTTACCACACTGAAGTGGGGACTAAAGCTTCTCAAATCAATGTTTTATTCTATACTGTATTAGATCTTACGAATCCGCCAAGACTTTGACCACAAAGTCGCCTCCCAGAGGGCCACCTGTGTTGTGTTAGTCCAACCCAGCACCTGTGTCACATCCTGCCGACCTTTCCCCCATTTTACCTTTAGAAGTCACAGTGATATTTGCATACGACGCAAACAGATTGGGGACCGCTTACTGATGGATCATCACAGCACAGCTCGTATCCCACAGTTAGGACCCCCACCCCATCCTCTTGTCATGGCTTCCCACTCTAAACCTTTGTCACTGACAGCCAGATGAATGCAGCTCCCTTAGAAGGAACTTTGTCTCATGACCGCGGTGATAATCTTGGTACCACAACATTCAACAATGATCGATTCTTGGGATTACACATGGGGGCAATGAAATTGAGGAAGAAAAACAGTGGTCACTACTTACCAGTGTCTTGAAGAAGCTCATGATGGGGCTGCTGTTCTCTGTGGTGTCTACCACCTGGGGCTCCTCCTTCGTGGTCCCCAGCACCTCTTGATCCCCAGGGACAGAATAACTCAGAGTGTCCACTTCTTTCTCTCTCTCCTTGCTGTCGATTATGTCCTGGGAACAAGACAGACGTTCACAGTTGCAGCTCCTTGGATGTGGAGTCTCAAGAGTCTTCTTTTTAGTTTACACCCCTCTCTTCCTGATCCCCCAATTCCAGTCATAGCTCTTCTGCCCACGGCCAGTCAGGACAATCGGGAACTTATGAGAGCCCTTCTCTCTCCTCCCTTCCCCCTCTCGCTAACACATTCATCACGGTCGGTAGGACGGACATTGTTTGGGGCCAGAGGGTAACAAACTGAGCAGTGCAGTGCATATCACAGCCAAAACAAAACCCTCTTTCTCTCAAGTCTGCAAGGGGGGTGTCGGAGAAGCCAAGGCTTCCCATCTTTACAGTCTCCGTGTCCGATGATCTGTACGTTGGGCCAGAGATGGCTCTGTGGGATTTCCCCACAATCCCCGCACAGTCAAATCATGCCAACAACAACAATAACAGTAACAGTAACAATAACAAGTCATTTCCTAGTAACTGCTCAGCTTTGGGGTGTGGAGTTGGTTGGTTGGTTCCTGGGAAGCGGTTGGTAACTGAGCTCCTTCCTTGTTCCATTTTCAAGATGACCTGGAGCCAAGACCCTGTCATCACTCTGCGCCATGATGGCCATGACTCTTGCCTGGTTTACTAGTTCCCCAGGGGCCTCACTCACCCCACAGATTTACGCTTCATGTCACACCAGCCCCCAGCTCCCTCCCATGACTCCTGTGGCTTTGGAATCAGCCCCAACTCAGACATGGCCTCCCTACTGTCAGGCCTGCTGGGCCTTTCTCTGAGTCTCCTCTTCCCCTCCCCCTCCCCCTCTCCCCCCCCCCCCATTCTTTTTGGGCTGCTTTCTTAGAGTTTCTCAAACATGCCACACTACAAATTATTTCCAACTCCATGGCTCTGGAATCTTCTGCCCCTCTGGGCGCCTGGAGGTAATTCTCATTCATTCTCCACATCTTCTTTTAGAATGTTTAAAAAATTAGGTGTGTGAAAACCTTGGACCCAAAATTTATCCTGTCTACAAGAAATTCAGGGACGGGATGGAGCCGAGACTGGAGGACTAGCTAAGCAATAACCAGCCCAACTAGAGAATCGTCTCACGGGCAACATTAATCCTGACACTATTAATGATCCTCTGTTATGCTTACAGACAGGTGTCTAGCATGGCTGTCCTCTGAGAGGCTGCAGATGGCAGCTGACTCAGACAGATTGCAGAGACCCACAGCCAAACAGTGGATGGAGCTTGGGGACTCTTATGAAAGAGTTGGAGGAGGGATTGAGGGCCCTGAAGGGGAAAGGAACTTCATAGGAAGACCAACAGTGTTAACTAACCTGGACCCTTGGGGCTCTCAGAGACTGAACCACCAACCAAAGAGCATACAAGGGCTGGACCTAGGTCCCCTGCCCCCCACACATATGTAGCAGATGTGCATCTCTGTCTTCATGTGGGTCCCCAACAACTGGAGTTGGAGCTATCCCTAAAGCTGTTGCCTGTCTGTGGAATACATTTCCCTAACTGGGCTGCCTTGTCTGGCCTCAGTGGGGGAGGATGCTTCTAGCCCCACAGAGACTTGATGTGCCAGGGTAGGGGAGTACACGGGGGGGGGGCTCCACACAGAGAAGAAGGGGAGGGGGATGGGGAGGGATTGTGAGAAGGGATGGCCTGGATAGGGGGTAGCAAGGAGGATATAAAGTGAATAAAAAATTAGGTGTGATTGCACATATGTGTGTGTGTGTGCACATATGTGTGAGTGCACATGTGTGTACATGTGTTCATGTATGTATGCCTGTGTATGTGTGCATGTACACGTGTTTATCTGTGTGTGCACGCATGTTTGTGAGCATTCACATGTATGCTCATCCTCCCCCCTCCCACCCACCCCCCCAAAAAAAGACCGGCATCTCCACAAGGACAGAGGCTGCGTTTATTTTCCCCTGTGCTGCTTCTTAAGAAGGGCAGTGAGGCCACCAAAGGCTTGTAACAATTCTGTACTGTTCTGAATAGAAGTAATAAAAACTTCATATAAGGGCTGGAGAGAGGGGTCAGCACCCAAGAATGCTGCCTCGCAGAGGACCCTGGTTCAGTTCCCAGCACACACATCAGGAGTCTCACAATCACCTGTAACCCGAGTTCAGGGAATCCAACTCCCTCTTCTGTGGGTACTTGCATGAGTGTAGTATACATAAGCCTACATAGCATCGTATATGTGCATAAAAATAAATCACTTTTGGAAAAACCTTATAAGAACAAGACAAGGATATCTGTCTGAACTTGCTTTTCTTGCATAACGGGGACAGAGGTGGTGTCCTGTCGCCATGTACACCTTACCTCCCACTCTGTGTGCCCCCAGTGGTATTTATTCTGTTTTCTGATGTGTTCACTTATTGTCTGGTATCCTTAATTATGGTGTTCGTGGATGTACATTTTGGATATTATAAGCATCTCACAGTTTTCCTTGTGTGTGTGTGGGGGGGGGTTGTGGGTGTGGGTACGAGTGTAAGTGTGCAGGTAAAGGTCTAAGGTCAACCTTCAGGAGCTGGCCCTCACAGTCTACCTAGTTTCTGAGGCAGAGTCTCTTGTTTCTGGGCCTGCCTACCCCAGGCTAGCTGGCCCGTGGGTGCCTGAGAATTCTCGTGTGCTCACCTCTTAGTTCTCATAGGAGTGTGAGATTATAAATGCACGCTGTAAAATTCAGCTTTTACATGGATCTGGGAATCGAACTCCTGTGGAAAGCACTGTTACTCTGAGTCATCTCCTGAGCCCACACTTTTATTTTTAAGCCCCGACTGCTCCATTTCATTTGGCAAATTACCAGAGTGAAATTTACAGGTCAAAAGTTAAGCAAACTTTATAAGCTGATATTCCTGCCAGACAGTGGAAGGTTACAGCAGGCTTCTGCAGTTCTGATCCTGCAGGCGGCCCCGTGCATCCTCCTGGCATGTCGGTAGAGCATGTGACACCTGGAACGTGCCCAGGACAGGCAAGGCCAGTGTTCATGAGAAGGGACAGCCAGGCAGAAGCATAGTTTGCAGCAGCAGGATGGGATGAGTCTCACTCCATACTCACCTGGCCCAGACATCATCTCCCTTTATCACCATCCCTTACACGCATGCACACACATACACTCACACACACACACTCACACACACTCATGCACACTCACATACATGCCCACAGAGACACACATGCACACATGCATAAATCACACACACACATTCAAACACACACACACATACTCACACTCACACACACTCACACACATGCACACACTCACACACACACTTACACACACACACTCACATACATGCCCACAGAGACACACATGCAGACATGCATAAATCACACAGACACTCACACACACTCACACACACTCACACACACTCACATACATGCCCACAGAGACACACATGCACACATGCATAAATGACACACACACACACACACACACATTCACACATGCACTCACACACATGCACACAGAGACTCACACACAGTGCCCATAACTTATACCTTCAAATGCTAAAATGAACAGATGAATGAGCAAATGAATGATTTGGTCCAAGACAGACCAGCATCATTCTTTTTATTAAGGAGCGTCCTGGTTAGTTTGTAAAATCACAACCTACTCATTGGGGTTCACCACAAGTAAGAAATTGAATCTTAGTTTCTTTTCCTGTAGCTGTGAGAAAATACTCTGACAAAAGCAAATGAAAGGAGACAAGGTTTCTTTTGACACTTCCAGGTCATAGTCTTATCATGGCAGGGCAGCCATGGCACCAGGAGTCTGGAACAGCTGATCCCATTAAATATGAAGGCAGCAGGAGAAGGTAATGAATGCATGTACACCACCAGAACTCACCTGACTAGGGAATGCTGTCACCTACAGTGGGCAGGGTACTTACATACTAAAATTCACCTGGCTCACTTGCCTAGGGAATGGTGTCACCCACACTGGGCAGATTGTCCCACCTCAACTAACATAACCCAGGTAATTCCTATCAGACATGCCTAGAGGATCATCTCCCAAGTGATTCTAACTTTTGTTAACAGCACTATCTTAGTCACTGTTCTACTGCTGTGAAGAGACACCATGACCAAGGCAACTCTTATAAAGAAAGCATTTAATTTGGGCTAGCTTACAGTTTCAGACATTCATCCATTATCATCGTGGTGGGGAGTATGGCAGCATGCAGACAGACATCATGTTGGAGAGCTCAGAGTTCTACATCCACCAGCAGTAGAAAGAGAAAGACTGACTGGGCCTGGTGTGGGCTTTTGAAACTTCAAAGCCCATCACCAGTGATACACTTCCTCCAACAAGGCCACACCCACTACAGCAAGGCCACACCCACTACACCAAGACCACACCCACCACACCAAGGCCACACCCACTACACTAATGCCACATCCACTCCAGCAAGGCCACGCCTACTCCAGCAAGGCCACACCTCCTAATCCTTATAATCCTTTCAAACAGTTCTACTCCCTGGTGACTGAGATTTCAAATACATGCACCTATGGGGAGCATTCTTATTCAAACTACCACAAACACTATCACAGTTCTGTCCTGTGAAATATCTAGAATATATAAGAAATTCTTAACACGGTTCAGAGTACTGGCTGCTCTTCCAGAGGACCTGGATTTGGTTTGCAAAAGCACGATGGCTCACAACCATCCTTATCTCTAGTTCCAGGGGATCTGGTGTCCCCTTCTGGCCTCGGTGGCAAAACGTTCATACATGTAGAATAAAAACTTAAATCAAAAGCACTTGCTGCTAAGCCCAATGACAAGTTCAATCCCTGTGCCCCACATGGAAGAATGAAAGAGATCACTCCCACAGATGCCCTCCACGCATGCTCCATGCCACATACATGTGTACACACAAATAAATATACGTGGCATAGATTAAAAAACAAAACAAAACAACCACAATGAGTTAGTACAATGTCCCCACCAAAATGGCTAAGGCAAAAACAGTGATGATCCCAGCTGCTGACAAGGATGCAGAGAATCTG